GACAATCCACTGAGCAAAGAAAACAATTAAAATGTCGTTTATTTGGAATTTATTTAGAAAAATTGAGTTAAGCAATTCAAGTTGTCCGAATATCATTTGAAGATGTCGGGGAATCATTTCAAGACGCATCAAGGGGAGGCAGATAAATCTCTGCTGCATGGTGGTCATCCAAACATAGCTGGAAAGCTTGTGGGCGCCGATGAGGTCAACGAGACAGCTTAAGTGATCCCAAAACATCTTGAAATAATACTCAGACAACTGAAATGATTCCCGGACATCTTTATGTCATATTCGGACAACTTGAATTGCAAAAGGTATAGACAGTATTTTTATACTCACATTAGGTTACTCGTTTCATACAGGGCCTATTTATTTTTCTCTCGATAGATTTAGACTGAAGAAAATTCTTTTTGCATGTTTCTTAGTTGGTGCGACTAGCTTTCGTTTTAATGGATTGATATTGGAAGTCTTCATTCAGTTTTCGAAAACTCAGACCAGAAGCGTTTAACGGGATGGAAAAGCCTCGAAAAATCATTGTGATGGTTCTGTACTTAGTTTTACGGGTTAGGTGCGTCTAACTTGGGTCGATTTTCAGTGATTTCATAATGAGTAATTCATGAGTGACCGGACAAAATTTCCATCCATTCATATACTACTCATTAAAAAAACACTGTCATTTTGTGCCAGGTTCATCTAGATCATATTGAGACCCTGAATTACTATTCTCGATCAACGAAGGGTCAGCCAGCCAATTAACATTCAGCAAGTGTGCACATGATTCCATACGTAAGTGAGTTTGTGACTTGTCACCATACTTGCCAACGGACTCCGTTTTATCGAAGTAAAGTGTAAGTGACCATCAGCTGAATTACTTTCACTCCGCAGTGTGTTTCTTAACTGTAAAAACAATCGATTCATTCGACTTAGGTGTTGTATCTCCTTTTTGAACACCACCCATAAAGTCATTCTCCTGCCATGTTTCGTCCATCAGAGATTCAAAACAGTGGAAACTGTGACAAGTGTTAGTTAGTAGTAAGTGATTTTAAGTGGCGTGAAAAATGGAGTAAGACGTTTGTGAAAAAATAGAACAATGAAAATTACCCGACCCTCGTTATTTGTTTTTGCCTTTTCATTATTGTTTAATTGAAACCGAATTAGCAATATGTAGCCTCATGCAATTTTTGTAACGTTGGGATATACGATATGACCGGACTAGCCTGAACCCTGAACCAAACGATACGTGTGGAAGTACCGAACAGAAACCGTAACGACCCAGTGACTGAGTGAACAGTACACGAATACGCCGACTGCGGAGCCCAGCACAATTCCCAAGAGAACCGGAAGGACGCTCCCACGAGAGTAATACGATCCCCGGCCCCGACCAGAGAAAAGACAGGCCTTCCGGCAGGGTTGTGTTTGGCTCGACCTAAAGGGTGAAGGCTGTGAGTAACTCATCCGTTTAAATACAGTTTTGGGACCGGCCAGCAATGACCTTGAAAATAAGCTTGAAGGTATAGAGTCATGAAGGAATGGACCAATCAGGACCTACTATAGCCAGTGGTGTGGTCTGAGTTTTTTCCGGCGTCAAAATTCAGAAATTCAAGTTTTATAAAAAAAAAATAATTAGGAAAATAAAGAAAACAGAAGGGGAACAGTCAATTATATAAGGAAAAAGGGGTTTTTTCCCTATCAGTAATCTTGATGTACCGAATAGGTCGAAATTTTTTATGATGCGTTTAGATTGACCACGACACAGGATACTGGACATGTAGACAGTTTTCAGTTTGAAGCGGGCATTTAGCATTCATTACCTTGATAAAATCCTTTTTATCCGAATTTCCGTCTGATGTTTCCCAGTTCCATTACAATGGGACATTTAGTCGGTGTTCCAATTCATAGCCAAACGATTTAAAGGAAACTGATAAAAACAAGTCCATCGATTCCTTGCCTGCCAAGTCATATGTAGTGCTTTAATTGCGTTGCACTGAGACACAAGCTGGTGATATTGCTTGGTTGCCTTATGTATCCAGGTTACTTTTTTGGTGTTGCAGGCGGTCGGATCAAACCAGCTTTCAGTCGTTTATCCCTGGTCCACGATTCAGTTAGGTTAAGATGGATAGGCATTGCTGATGATTCATACACGATGCATAGAGCGATCCCGTGGTTGGTAATGCTGAGATACACTAGTATTGATAAAATTGCTGATAACTCTATAGTTTTCCTTGAAATACCAGTTGAATTTGCCTCATGGTTTGGAGTTGCACCAGATTGCTTCTGCAAACGCACTGGATTCTCTTTCGCTCTAAAAAATAAGCGCTTACACATTGTAACTTCAAATGACAGATGATGTCGAATTTCTGAAATCAGTTTACGTTGCTCACAACATTTATTCTATCAGTGAACAATGCTATGTTTGCATCACTCTCGGTGTGGTGTGACTGGCTGAATGTAACATTGGTTGTTCAATGACCAAGCCGTGCATCGGTAAATATCAAAGCGAGAAACTACCTGCAATAGCGAATTGTGAGGTGGGACATTGGACACACAGTCAGGACGTATGTTATTACATATACGATTAGTTTGGGCTGGATAAAAGTTGTGAATACACTGGTACATATCACCTTCCTTTCCTACTTATTTATTTACTTATTGCTGCTACTTGGCGACATGTCTGCCAGTCAAATAAAGCTTATCCTAATCAATCTAAGCCAACAATGGCTAGTGATCTGAGAGTAATCATTCATTCGACAGAGTTATAAATCACTTTGCAAATATTCGTACTCCGTAGACATGAAAAGCCTATCGGTGACAATGAGAGTTACTCAGTGTTCATCATCACGTTACACTTGATCTTGATTCAGTCAAAAAGCGTCCAATAATAACGTCGCTCCAATGGAAACCCGTTGTTCTATCTGGTCTAAAATTGTCACATTAGCATTTTGTACCCCTGGCACATATTATCTTTCACACAATGACTCGATACAGTTTGGTCATAAGTGTAAATTGGTAGAAGCTGTATTGGACACACTTCGGTAGGATATTTCATGGCCTTCTATTGGAACCGTTGCATGTGACATATTCCGCGTTCAAGACAATACAATATTTCTTCTAGGCGAATTCTTAGAGAATCGATTCACAATAATGCATCTATTTGACAGCTTTACTGCTAAACAGAAAACGGAGAGAGTAACGATGGGGTCAGACGACTTGTTTTAACGTCCCATAATCTTTCGTTGCGCAAAATCATTTGACTGCACCCTCTGAGTTGACAATTTTTAATTTCACACCTTCGTGTGATGCACAGCAGCTGGGGGAAAATCCCATAGTCCAGAGAACTTTCTTATCACTCGTGGAAACCGGTGACCTAAGCTGCGGGACTTAGAATGGCAAACCACATAAGTTTCCACTGGCTCAGGCGTGGTGTTGAACTGGGCAGTAGCAGGGATTTCTATCATCAAAGTTGGATGTCGGTGGCAGGGTTCAAAACTCGGATATTAGGGCCAAAAGTATGCCAGTGGCAGCTATTTAAACCACTCGACCACCACCATCCTCCTTCTAAAGATGCCTGGGTAACATCTGTCCTCACTTGGGTTATTTACTGACATGCGACTGGGTTGAAAGAGATAGCCAGTTGGGAGATCTATGAAGTGGCATAGAGAATTGCAGAGATAGTGTTCGGATCTGGATTCTGTCGGGGATTCTGGATCTCCAGGCTGTAGTAGATGTGCACTGAATCAAATTTAGTGGCACGAATTCATCACCTCACATTTGCACTCCTTTAAGTAAGAAAATACAAGAACAGTGGAAATTGCGTACAGTAAACAATCATCTCTTGTTTGTTTGATAATAAGTAGTATGTGAATGACTGGACAAAATTTCCCTGGAAGCACACGACCGGTTTCGCGGTTCTTGCCACTCGTCAGGCATGCATATCCGGTAATATATATATATATACCAGGAAATATTTCACAAAGAATTTCACTTGGAATCAGACATTTTACTGTGGCATTGTCAAATTTGTTTAGCATAATAAACAGTGCAAAACCATCTACCCGATTGAGTCTTGAACCCGCGACTTCATGAGTAAACACGCCTGACTACTGAATAAAAGCCAGACCACGTATCTCAGTCTATTTCGAATAAGGTAATCGTGGGCAACACAAATGAAAAATTTTACCAAGAAATGCGAAAATGCGAAAATTCGTAGAGGTGAAAAGAGGCAGTTTGCTTCGAATGATTTTCTTCATCTCGCTGGTTCCCGTTAGTAGATGTCTTGGATTTCATCTGGCCCAAACCCCATGCAAATTCATGTTCTTGATCCAAATTCCGTCAGACAGTACCATACTCTGAAGCTTAAGTGTTCAAGACCGTCAGTCATTTGATTTTCGAGCGAAAATTTAGAAATCTCTTGTTTCCCGCGAAAATCATGTCCTAGCCCTGGAGCTACTTCATTGTTCCCTATGGAAAATGACACGGTAACCAAAACCATTGCACTAAACTGCAAGGTTCACAGTTGTAAAAACTGAAAGTGAAAGCCGACAACATGCACTGTAAAACACCAGTGGATCTAGACCCAACTAGAACCAAATCATGAAAATTATTGAAACGTTACGTGGAGCGAAAAAGGGTTTCGAAGGACAAATGAATCCGCGCAACCAAGTTTCCAATACCTTATTTGCAAACCTATTTAAAAAGTCCAGACATATTCTGCTCAGTACCAAAATATTTATTGATGGAATGGAAAGCACGCATAGTTTGGACAAACACTGGTACTATCTATAGAACTGGATCGTATAGGATTGATGCTGATCAGTGATGTTATGTAATTGTAGAAAATAGATCCTTGTCTTTATTATCCCTGAGGGCTGGAAAACCAGTTCAAATTATACACTAATAACTCGAGCATATTGGTTGATTTTTTTAAGTCAGGTTGCCAAATAGGTTGGATGATAATTGCGTTTTGCTAAAGCTTTCGTATTCAATCGGTGATGACTTGGTGCCTACAGATTTTCCACAAAGTCCAGTTCGGCCTGTCTGGTTGCATTCAGTTCCCCCAATTCTGTGAAACTTTTCACAAGCCACCCGGGCAGTTTGACTAGTGCACCGGGGCCGTAGCCGGATAAACGGGAACTTGTTTGTCTGGCACGATTCGGTAAAATATCCTCTTCCGAGTCCTCGTTTTGTCTGATTATACGGATCAGTTGTTGTCTGGCCTCGTCGGCCATGGTAATGTCGACGGAGATGTTGCGAGTTCGTTGTGCACCGGCAGCAAATGCCTCCTCGGTGGTCATTGGACCAGGCACACCGGAAATCTCTTCGTCTGTGGACTGTATGCCCTCCATTTCTTCTTTTGCACGCCGTACCATCCAGTTCACGGCCATCACCGCTTGAATTGCTTGACTATTTAAGAGCTGACCGATCAATGTCAAGGGTAGATAAGGTACTTGTCGTGGTGGAAAGAGGCGTTCCCGATGCAATGTCTCGTGTGTCATTATCATGCGCCACATCAATTCAGCCGGTAAAGGCCATGCATCAATCGAACTACCTCCACCATTCGCACTGTCAGCTGATTCCAATGCATCCTCCGGATTGAAGTGGACTAGACGAAGATGATTCGGTGTACCACCGCTATCGGAGTAGAATTCATAGCCACAAAGACCACAATGACGCCAATCTTTGCTTGCATGTGAAACCATCATGTGCACCTTACAATAACAATAGAGAAATGAATGAAAACGGATGAACATGTGAGTAAGTATTCCGATGAAAACAGGAATCCCGGTAGAAGCAATCAAAATTTTCCTAAAGCTAACATGTTTCAAATATAACCAAAAATGAAGAAATCCTCATAGCAAATTAATTGTTTTATACTTTTCACCTCCCTGACGTCTATTTGCTGCTTTGCATTTTCATTCTCTATTGTTATCCGGTGATAAGGTTTACTCGGTCAAAATACTGCTTGGTAAAATTGGATGCACCAGCAGGCATAATTAATCGGAATCTGACCTAGAATGGAATATTCCTTTGGTAATCATGCTCGATCAAATAATATGACTATTTACAAACATTTCATGAATCTCTCTTTCTCTCTCTCTCTCTCTCTATATATATATATATGTATATATATATATAGAGAGAGAGAGAGACCGCTTTAGTAATCTGTTGGTCAAAACTAGGACCAAATGACTGCTACTATTTTGCTAGGATCCAGCGTCCGCGTAAATCATTACAACGGCTGGTTTCTTACTCTAATAATCCCCATTTGGGTTTCAGTAGAGACAGTTGATCAGGTACAAATAGAAAGAAAATTCAGCTTTATGGTGAAGTTTATTGCTGATTACAGTTTTAAAAAGAACATCGAAATTCTTTCCGGTCAACGGATCTTACAAAAAAGCTGTCACTGTTATCGATTACTTGTGGATGGAGTGGAATTAGTGTAAAAATGATAATGAACGAAGTTGGTCATAATATTTTCATAACGCTGATGGCATATTTTACCATCCAGTCTGACTGTACAGTTTTATAACACCCAATTGTGGGCCATGTTCTCTCCTATCTCCAAATGACTAAACCAGGCCGTATCATAAATTGTGACTCGAATGTTTGTATTTGGGTAAACCCAACAACCAAATTGAGTTCATAAGACCAATAATTGCAGTGAATGATAAGTTTGTCGATTTATTTTTATTTATATACACAAATTTTCACACTTGAATTTCCTGAAGGGAAATCCGCGAAAGGAATAGACATTCTGGGGATGTTGGAAGACGGTAATGACAGAATTTGAACACTACCCATTGGTTGAGGTGATGAAAGTGTAAACCACAATAATTACTGGTCGTTTGTAATGGCTTAAAGTTTATCATCTTAGACTTCCTCTGCTTCCTCTGCGAGATGTCCACTCATTAAAAGGGGTAGAACACTTGGATGGTGCACAGTATATGATAGTCCCGGGAGCAAAACCGAAAACAGCTTGCAAAAATAGTTGACTTGTGAATAAGTGTCAGCGGAGTGTCACACTCTCTATCTCCTAGTCGGTACAAATTCCTCCAAAGAGTCTATCTTAGCAAATTAACCAATACAACGATATTTAATCGAACTGACCTACCTGTAAGGATAAGTTATCTGGGAACATTATGTAACACTCAGTGCACAGTAAATCAATATCCAATATTCGGCGTAGCTTTCCTTTTTCCACCAGATGTTTCAGCCTTTTCCTGCTCTCTGCAGCATGATAATTCGCAATATGTCGTTGCAATTTCGTTTCATCGATGAAACGATCGAGACAAATACGACATTGCTCTTTCACCCGAAGACCACTCACGTCACGACTCTGCGTGCCCTGACTGCTCCTCGCCCCACCCATCCAGTTACGCATCGATCCTTTGATAGTGGACCTCGCCTGATGACCGAACGTACGTTGTGTTCCCAACACGGGTGGACTGAATTCGTCATCTGTCGATTTGTTTGCCGCATAATGTCCAGCCGCCTGATTTTTCAACAGTTCCCGAACTGTGGGTCCAGGAACTCGGGTGCTTTGATTCTGAGATCGCCGAACTTCCTCCGTCGGATCTTCTTCGGATAGTTCCGACAGATTTGGGGCAACCGCGCCATGAAAACAGCATAAATGTGTTGTGTATTCATCCAGTGTGCTAAAGCTAGCCGTACACATACGTCTTTTGTTGCTTTGATAGGTGGTAAATCGATCCGTTTCCGAATTACCTTCCACAATACTGGTGCGAGATGCGTTTTTACGAAACAGGTCACTGTAATCGGCACTTTCCAGTTTCGACGAATCATAGAAACATGTGTACGGGACAGTGGCCTCCGCAACTCCACCGTGTTGATTACGAATCATTTTGAAACAGGCTTTACGAGTTGTCATAAACAATTCAGGTGCATGACAATCAAACGCGTGAACTTCTTGCATCATCAGATTTTCCGAATGAAATTGTGTATGGCAAAATACACAACGATATGGGTCCCGATGAACCGAATGAGCCACAATGATGTGAATGATGAGGTGTACTCGAGAAGGTAGAAGGCGTCCACGACAGAGTATACAAACTAGAGGGCTGCCATCGTGATCTAACATTTTAATACGACAACGGATATCATTCTGCTGTTTGCTATAACATTTATGCTTGAGCATTGAAGCACAATTAATGATGCCATCACAACTCCGACATTCATACTTGGGTAGTCGGGTAAACGATTCCAATGTGCCTAAAATATGGCGGTGTCGAGTTAAGTGAGCGTGTAAATTAGAACGACATTTAAAATCAACGCCACAGGTTATGCATACATGTGGATTCTCTTTTAATAAGGCTAAATCGATTGCCGGTCCACGTTGCGCACCAGTTAACATATCCAAGTTAGCCGTAGGATGAACCGCAGCCTCCAGTTTTTCTTCAGCATCCTGTTCATGATGAATTAGATGTTTCAGACTCTCATTTGTGCTGATATCGGTTCCCGGCTGCTCGTAGTGGGCCTCGATGATATCCAGTGACCCATTATCTGCCACTGGCCACGCTGAATGGAAAATGTTATATTGGAAAACTTACTGGAGTTTGGTGGATATTTTTATATATTCTTTCAGATGGTCATTGTGAGTGGTATGTCTTCCTGCACAAGACGATGACACGCTTACCGTCGATCAATCGGTTCAAATTGGACAAACAATGCATCGTATCACGTGATTATGCAGTCACGTGCAACAGATGTTTAACTGAATCGGTTTTCTGTAACATGTGTTCGCGATCTTTTTAGATCAATAAATGAATTATGTATAAAAAGCTCTTCAGGGTCTAGATAGTTGAATATTATCCACATTTATATCATATCTATAACCACATGGGTTTCCATTTAATAGACTAAAGGTCCTGTATGAGGAAAGCGTGGAATGTTTGGTGGTGGAATCCAAAATTTGGCGAAGCGTATGACGAGGACAAGTGTGCATCAACTATAGTCTTGATAAGCTTGTTTCATTATCAGTATTCGTTAGAAGATACTGCTCGCCATTGTTCGATCTCTTAGCAGCGATTGGTCGTAGGTGGAAAGAAGTTATCAAGTACTGACGATGGGTATGGCACGCGAAATGCTACTAACCTAACTCTGTATTTCCACAAGTTCTCGAAAGCTCCATTATCCAGATTGATCAAATTTAGTATGATGACGATACAACTCAATACCTTACGGAAAAACTGAAAGGGCATATAATCAGGACTCCTTTAAACTAGAAAGTATAGTCCTAGTTGTACTGGAGGGCATAAACCCCACACAAGGTGCTATCGCTAAGGTGCATGTTGCAGCTCACAATGTGACTTACTTAAGTCAGACATGCCTCCGATATGTTGAGTGATGATAAATAAATGATTAATAATATTGAATTTGTACAAGGTAAGCGAGTGGATGTTTTCACAGTCATATATCAAGGTAGAGTTCACAAACAAACCATTTGTCAAAGCAGACGAATGGCACCGGCCATTTTGACATTAATTCATGGCGACAACCTAGGGCGTTCTCCACTGTTTTTGAGTGATCTAAGTGAATAGTCCTAGACAAATGATGGCAAAAGGTTTTGAGAGAACATTCATTCTCTTTCACAATGTACTTTTACTCAACTAGAAGCTTTCGGATGTGTTGAACTCATCAAGTTTGTGAACTTCCAAATTTTGCTCTCATGCATGCAAACTACGTAATCAGATGCATTTTTTAAGCCGAGGAAAGCTACAACTGTATTAGATACCATTCGGAAAACCGATGCAAACCAAAGATTTGGTTGATGTTCCAAATCCAACTCACTGTTTACAAATACCGCTTGTTTTTCCAATAACATCTCGGTGAGAGTCATCACGAAGGATGACATTTGGACGATGGGAAACTGAAAAATCATCTTACCGCGATCGCTTTGTATAGATTGCTCTCATACACCGAGTTCAGCAATACCCATAGCAGGTTTGATCCAACAGACACATTATTTGAAAAGATGAATAAAGTTTTTACTTGCTTTGCTTTTACTGAATATACAATGATACAGACAATTCTTGGGCTAGAGTCTAAGCTTAATTGAAGGGTGCCTGGGGAATGAAGAATAAGGTCTGCGGGAGTGGCTGGATTTGAAATAGCAAGCTCCGAGTCACTGCAACGCTGACCTTGGTCGCCACACCGCAACCGTCTAGAACCGATACTGAGTCTATTTTCAAAGCCCGACAATAGATGCTAATTATCAATATGATAATCTTCTATTTGTTTCCTCTTTAATTAAACGAATATTTTTACGGTCGTGAAATGAGATAATTGGACGGAGTGGTTACAAACCATCCCAACTTATTCCCTCGTGAACTAATTTTTACGGTTGGTAACAGTGACTAGTGTTCTCCTAATTATACCAAAGGTATAATCTTGCACCGCCCATCAAACGTTCATACGTTCTAATCGGATAAAACTCCATTTAGAGGATTTTCCCCCCAACCGAATCTCTCTTCTCAATCGTTCCATAGTGATTGATCAGTCTTGTTTTGGTTCTTCTTCATCGCTTTTTAAATGTGTCAGTCTGTTCAGCTAAACGATTAAATTGATCTTTCACCCGTAATGCCCCGTGAAAACCTTTTGGTCTGTAACAGTAGAATTACCTCCCACTATTTTTAACTCGCTGAGAAGACAAAAAGAAAGCCTACAGATTTATTCATGCATCATTTGTAAAGCACTACTACAACTTGATCAATTCTGAGATAGCGGATCTGAAAGCATTCCTTGCAACTCAGATTCTGCGAATAATGAAAACCAGGTTTTATGGCAAAGCATTGGTCTTCGCTGTGGGCAGCATGGAAAGCACTCGAATACTCGGGTGAACGTCAACAGCCACAAAGCTGCTTTCATCCACCCGTCAAATGGGAGCCGGCTTTTATCCTTACTATGCAATGAATTCGAACCAGTGCCATTTTAATGAAGAAATCCTTAATTTTCTCTGGTCCTCCAAAACATCTTCAGTAACAGGTCCTCCCTCCGGCGGTTCCCAAATATGAGGCAGGTTCCTTAACGAATATGATGCCATCCCTTGTTAATGAGTCTCCATCCTCCCGGTTGATTCCGGGTTCTTAGTATCAAGTTAGAATAATTCCGATTGCAAAGACTTCGGCCTCAACTGTTCCTGTGAAACGATTTTATGCTGTCACGCTGACCTCAGCAGCTCTTAAGTAGACCGAAAAGAACATTCTCAGTTGCTTGCAGTCAGTTATCAAAATTCCCCATTACCCCCTCCCCTTCCAATTTTCTTATACACCCAGAAGATCCGCACTGGACGCCTTATCCACTCTAGCCCATTTTTTCAGTAAATCAGCAGTCTGTCCGATGTGTTTTTCTTGATTACTCGTCTGCGTTTGATTCAGTCTTCAGTCGTCAGGATTGAGGGCAGAGAGCAGGGTGCCCGTGTAAACCCCATCACCACTGGGTCGAAGGTCTGATCACAAGTGTTCGTTCCTCTATAGCCCCTTCAGGTGCTCATCCAGAAGCCGTTTGAAATCAATGTCTGTTTCCTCTTCCACCACAATCTCTGGAAGAGAATTACAGTGTTGTTGATCTACGCGAGAGTCGGTAGACTAACGGGAGACCAACTGATTGA